GTGTGCTGTCTTGCAAGAACGAAATTGAGTAACGATCTGACAAGGTTACCTCATTCAGTTTGCGGTAATCTCCATACGGACGTCAATCACTATATATTCATCTTCTGCACGAGATATAGAGGATTAGCTCAAGGGAAGATTTACATAAGCCTTGTTGCATTATGTACTCAAACTCTTTAGCTGCTTTGAATTTTTCTGGACAGAGTTGTCTGGCTTTGTTTGATACGGGGAACCCGTTGTTTCGATTACATGTTTCACTCCGTGCGGTTTGTTTGTGCGTAATCGACGTCCTAGTTGTTTCGAAAACTTGTTTAGGATCTCTTTGTATGGACCAGCATTGTTAAACGAGGAATGGCTTTGTTAACAAGCTGAGAAACTTTAAGAAACGTGTTACCGTCAATCAAATGCTTGTGCCGTATGTCAGGTAACAAACGTGCTAAAAAATCTGAGCCAATGATAAAAGCGTCGATGAAAGGCCATATTATGAAAGGCCATTGAAAAACACGACGGAATCCCAAATCAAGCTGGTATAATTTTTGTCACACTTAGGGATGATCGTTCTGTTTGCAGCATAGAGTACCCGATCGCTAATGTGAGTACGATCAGCGTCTTGAAGCAGGAATGGTAGAGACATCCGCTCCGGTGTCCGAAACAAAAATTTGATGCCGATGACATGGTCTGAGATCTGCCACAGCCAAATTATCTGCCGCCGGGGATAATTCAGCCTCTAGTTTTCCTATTCCGCTGGCTTTCAGCTGCAGGATTGCGATACACTTGGTAGCTTTTCCATTAAAATATCAATGATTAGCACAGCTTGCTTTCCGATTGTGATCTTGAACGGTTTCTGCGAGAATTCCGTGAGGCCTGTGACTTGTCACGCGATAAACGAGTTTCTAGATCTAAAAGCGCGGACATTTGGGAATCTGCCGAATTAGCTTTTGTCGATGTAACTGCTGCGACAGCGTTAATGCCAGCGGATAGCACATCTGCAATCTTATTCGGTCTGCTAGTTGCTCTTCGAGTTCATGCTTAGTAGCTATTAATATAGCCTGCATTTGTTGTGGCGCTGCAGCCAAGGATTTAAGCACTTCTTCTGACACGCCATTTTGCGCGAGATCAATCATCGAAGTAATTACGACGGACGACAGTCATCTAGATCAACTTCATTTAATAATTTACGCACTTTCTTTTCGGTGCTATCCGCGAAGCTCTTAACTAACCTATCTTTGAACGCGGCGTATCTATCCATCGCGGGCGAATTAAGTACAATTTCGGTCAAAGAATCTTCGTCAAGGCACTGTACACATAATTGAATTTCGTCTCATATAGTTATACCTACGGTGAGGAATTGAGCTTCCATGAACTATAGGTCTGGCTTCGATTTCCAGAACGGTGTGGATCTGATTCCGATTCGTAAGTACAAGCACTTCAGCTATATGTGACGATGCCCTGATCGCCTGAGAGAGGATCGCCTGAGCCATATCTGCGGCTTCTTAGGACGCGCGCGTTAGGTTAAATGGAACGCTACGCAATCACGTCGGAGGTCACCAATTTGGGCTACGTGCCCACCACGTTGTGACTGCTATGTCCAATGTGGCGCCGAACTCTAGATGACTAATTAATGACAAAGGACAATTGGCGGAAAAATCGTTAAGTTTACAAATATATGTTACTCAATGATTCTGACTCATATTGCTATAAGGTAGTTTAATACAAATTCAATTATTAGAACAAACAGATTACAAAAGTAGAGACGTGATTGCGTATGACGATTCGGATAATGGCATCGCATTACAAGATTAGAATACGAGAAACTAAGAAAATTTACAACATAAGCATTTATCTGACGACGCGAACAATTATCTAATGTCATGAACAATAAACGATGTCAATCTCGCAGTGAACATAAGGTGATTATAAATCTTACCGAGCGCTAACTAAAATCTATCGCTGAGACTTACAAGGAATCCGCACGCAAAACGCCATAACACCAAAGAGAGAGAGAGAGAGAGAGAGAAAGAGAAGAAAACCGAGAAAAAAAATTGACTCGAGCGCCGCAACTAACGCTTACAATACCACAACTTACCTCAGCTCAGCATACGATACATCTATTACGTCCTCTCCCAGGATGTAATAGATATATTGTATGCGAGAAAATATTGAACGATTAATATCGAGTGGGAATAACCCATGCGATATACAAGTCGCATACGACAAATATAGTAATAAATGCGGTTCCCGATAGAAGTGAGATTAATGTGAAGTATATTTAATTTATGTAGTGGATATGGCATATCAAAATATTGTTTTGTTTTATACCCAAGGAGAACAAGAAAATAAAAATAATGTCAATTTGATGAATTTATCATTCATTTTTTTGATCATAATAAAAATCTCGATCTAAGAATGATTTTATATATAATTCTTAGACTATCATTAAACAATTAGGAAAGATATAGATAAAATTTGTACTTTATTTATACTTCGGATACATTTAAAAAATAATTAAGATCGTATGTTTATGAAATCTTTTACATTATGAGTTACATACGTATATAAATATGTGAAACCTAATACATGTGAAAATGAATACATTTCATTAAAACTTTATTTTCCATATATACTACTCAACAAAAAATAACAAAAATTACATATAGCACGATTATATGAATCAAATATCGATTTATCATCTCCAGCCTTGAAAAATAAATGATGTACCGTAAGAAAAGTGGACGTTGTTATAGTTTACATCCACTTTGTCAGAGGGCAGTAGTGTGCATTTTGTAGTTACAGGTTTTGGGCTGTCATGTTCTCTCTCAGGTTTTTTTCTGATCATACCAATTTTATATGAAGAATGTTTCAATCTTCATGCAGTTTTAATGACAATTTATGTCTTCCTGTTACTGTCAGAGCATGATGTCACAAAATAACATCTCTATTCTTAGATTATATGTGTTCGGTTGCGTAAGTATATGAGAGGAGTTTTATGATTCGAATGCTCCCTACCGAGCACCACTAATATCAATCAAAAACCTGATTTTGACCACATTTTTCAAAACCTAGTTTCAAAGCCTATTTTTCGATTTTCTATTCTTTCTACTCCATGCTGACAACATATCGCATCTCAGTCAGAAATAGTTTCTCGAAAAGACATCATTACGATGGAAAAATTATCGATTCGAAACTTGTATCGAAATTTCAACATTTTCGAGATGATAAAAAATTACGTATATAGAGAGTGCAATGAGAGTTTGATACATTTTTAATATTTTTGGTATAAATTTGTGATACGTAATCTTATATTTTGAATAATTTTGTTCAAAGATCGAATTGACATTTTTTTCCGATTTCATTTCGACAATTGTAATATCGCTCCAATCAGCTTTCTCAAAATTTTTCAGAATTTATAAATAATTTTATAATTTTTTAGAAAATTGTGGAATTTTTTTATATGAATCGGAACATTTTTTATAACTGTCAATCAAATCTACATTTTTTCTTCTAGTAATTCTTTGTATCTTTTATTGTTCTAATCCTGCTGAATAACATTACTTTTATTTGTACTTTGTAGTTTATTTAATATAATCTTAATACATCACTTTTGTATTGAGGAATTTCAGGAAATGTCTCTTCATAAATGCTGACAATCTATTAATACGAAATGAGTACGAAATCAAGGAAAAATATCATCAATTTTATCAAAGCCTAGACTAATTCTAGTTCGAATCGATATCGAAATGATCTCGATTTTTAAATGAAATTTAAATGTTGGTCTATCATACATGTTTCCAATATCATTTGGAAGTATAAAAGTACTATTAGTGTCACTACTGTTACTGCAGTAATATTACTACTGATACGCAATAGTGTCAATGCTGAGCCAGTAGTGTTACTACTGTAGTAGTATATGACGACATATGACGTAATATAGAACTACTTCCATTAATTGTAATATTGGTATAAAAATTTTATTAGAATAAAAAATACATACATATATCGTTAGAGCAATTAGTATTATTTCAGTTAATAAAAATAATATTTTGCAGTACTATTAAAAACAAGTTATTATCATAGGTATCATCATTTGTACATTACTATTATATTTAACATTAACTATATTTTTTTTATGTGTTCTGCCTCTTTCACAATATTTTTGAACAAATATGTTACAACTATACATCCATTAGCATTATAGATGTTTCATGGTTCTTCGAAGGAGCAATTCTCATACGATCACAAAAATGAAGCATGGTAAATGGAGATTTGGATTCGGATGGGTGACCGCGCATGGATGCATCATAAAATTAATTCTCGAATTCATAAAATAAATTTTTTTTTATTATAATTTTTTATTATAATTTTGTGTATCCTCTGAAATATGATGCTAATCAATAATATTTATTTTCACAGTAAAATTGCAATGAACTTTAATGAAATTTTCTCCACCACTATTACGCTATTAGTAACATTATTTGTCAAATTTATTTATTGCATTAGTGATACTAGTAGTACATTTTTATGCTGACTAGATCAATTCAAGATTTTATTTCCAACTCGAAAATTAATCGAAATTGGAGTCAAAAATCCATCGAAATCAATAGAAATTTCGAAAACTTTCGACTTTTATTTTCGACATCGAAATGACATCTTTTCGAGAAATTATTTCTGACTGGGTTGATAGCGGAGAATACGATTTCGAAGTTGCATGTGATACCGACTGCACGATATTTTTCATATACGATAATTATAGACCCACCTGGGGCGCGATTCTGTAACTATTTTACACGCTTACCGACCAGTTGTTATTGCGCAGTTTTTTCATATATGACAATTGTCGATAGGCGTGTAAAGATAGTTATGGCTCTTGCATACTGAACGCGAAAACGCTTGCCGCAAAATGAGACGCGGTAATCAATGAACACATTAGGAGCTGTAAGCTTATTAGCTACCATATCACATTTTGTCACGCGTTTCCGCGTCCAGTGTGCAGAAACCATTAAGGTGCGATTACACGTAGCGTGGTACGCGATACGCGGTACAGAAACTAAGTAACTATAGGAATCGCGCAAATCGTTGCTTCTTTTCTCCTGTATTACATGTAACGCGGTAAGTAACACGGGCTAGTGACAAATAATCTTTGATATGAATTTTTTTAAATATATTAACTTATTTTTATACACATTTCATTAATACTCTTATTTTTTCAACGAATTTGCTTAATAATTGCATTTAAATCAATTAATTCTATTAAAAGTGCTTAGAGCTAATTGTTTCATCTTTTGGCACATTTTATCTGTTGGGTAAGTAGCAAGATTATCCAATCACATGCATGGATTGCCAAATTTACTTCACAGGTAAAATTTACTAAAAGATGGAACAATTGGCCCTTAGTAATGTGAATTTGTCACTGGCCCGTACTGCTTATCGCGCTACATTTGTATATTCATAGTTCTTTCTTGAGGAATGAGGATTCCTTGTTTTTCAGTTCATGTTTCACAAACCTTGATCAAAGAAACCTTATTAGTTTCCTTTTCTTAAGATAGATTGAGGAGATGTATCTTCATAACCAAGCAAATTTCCAAATTTAATTCGTCACATCGGTCTTTTTACTTTCGATAGCTTTAATCTGATAATTTTTTTTCGGAAATAAACTCCTCTAAAAGCATTTTTTTCTTCTTATAATAAGCATTGGCGAATTCGATTGGAAGCACTGATGCATATTAAAGCCGTTGTACACTAAATTGAGTATAAAAATAAAATGCAAACATTTCGAATTATAAAATACATATTTTATCTAAGTACAATAAAATGTATTGAATATTTCACAATTTAATTTCGATTTCTATTTATTTATAAACATTCTGTTTATTTATAAACATATATTTACGTTACTTTGTGTATGTACAACAGTTTTAATGTGCATTAGTGCGCAATGAGTGCGTCCAATCAAATTCGCTATTAGTTTTATTTTTGTCCATTATTGTTGCAAAATGCTTAATCACGACCTTATTTAATCAACAATGCCTTTATAATCTTTTTTATTCGTAATTCACGATATTAGGTGCATACACTATATATATTATGACATGCTATTCTCAGTAGATTACTAAAATCTTTCCTTCTTTTGGGAAGAATATTCCTTCCTTTGGGAAGACAGACTTGAGACCGTTTATGAAACAAAGAGGCCTTGAAGAATTCTTCATGGAGGAGAAGAAGAATCCTCCATTTTTAAAATAAAGAAGGACTATGAATATGGATGATAATTGCACTACATATAATCACCCTTACGGAATTGCGCCCCCCCTGGGCCTCTATTTTTGAAAAATATCGAATATTCGAAAAACTAGGGAAATACTATACAATTATATGCTAGGGAAATACTATACGAAATAATATACGTTACATATACTATAGCGTTTTCCTAGTTTTATCGTATGCGATATTTTTCAAGAACAGGACCTCTTGCCTGTATTCATAGTCAAACCTTGTACTTAAAGCTTCCTTAAATTTATCTTTAAATGTTCAGCAGTCAATGAAATAATTCGTGGAGTATCTAAAAATAAATTTTAGTATTTAAAAATAAATAGAAATATAAGCCTGACTATAAATACAAGTATCTATTCTTGAAAAGTATCGCATACGAAAAACTATGGAAATGCTATATAATATTTAACGTATCTTATAGTATTTCCCTAGGTTTTCGTATGCTACGCTTTGCAAGAATAAGGGCCCTCGAGCTCGATATTTTTCTCGTGTTGTCGCTTATTTCTTACAGTTATGTACATCAAAATTTCAAAAAAATCACAAAAAAATTTTACTTTTCATGTTTTCGTCCTAGGGAAAAAGTTACATGATCGTTACTTTGATTTATCCTTCCTATGGCGTTGGCGGCGACAACGACGGTGACGGCGTTGGCGATGACTGGTGGCGGTGGTTTTGTGCTAGTGTTTATCGCTCTTGTGTATGTCACGCAATTGAAAACCTTCTTTCTCTTTTTGTGCAATTTTTCAATATTTGTGATTTGTTTATTGTGAAAAAATAATGTCGGGATATCGCAAGGTGAACTATTACGAATTATGTCGATTGTGTACCAGCAGTGAAGGTAACAAGATGAATATTTTTCGTGATGAAGGACGTAGACGACAATTGCAAACAAAAATACAGACGTATCTTCCGATACAGGTGAACATTCATGCTTAATTCGCGAGCTATTTTTGGTAATAATTTCTTTTGTAATAATGTGATAATTATTCAATCCTTAACTCTTGTTAATTTCATATGCCATGAGCAACACAAGACTCCAAAGTTCGGAAAGTCTACGAAGAATATTTGTGAGATCTTAGATTTTAATAGATTACATTTTTATTCACTTGGTGCGAGTTATTCTTACACGAAAAACCGTGATATTGGAATAATTTTTTAATTATGAGATCATGTTATTAATATATATTTACGAGTTATATATGAACATTTTATTCAAAATATAACAATGTTATTATAGTCTTATATTTTAGAACAATAATATATATTTATTTATATGTATATAATAAAAAGAATATTTAAAAAAGTTTTTTAGTATGAATTAAGATAATAAATCATAGTTTATATATTTGAGTGTGTGTGTGGGGAGGGGGGGATGTGTGTGTGTGTATGTGTGTGTGTGTGTGTGTGTTTTGTACAGAAGCTTAACAAATTTATGAAAAGAATTAAATAATTAATATAAATGATTAAATTATTTAATTTAATTAATTTGAATACTTCCTTTTTATTTTTTTAAAATCTTTTGACTTAATATTTAAGACTTAATATATAAAAGTTCTGTTTTCATATAGCTATAATATAAACAAGCATATTCTTATATAATTATTTGTATTGTTTCCCTATGATATGTTTCAATAAAGATATATCACTATCTTATATATTATTAATCAAATCAGTTGATATATTTTCATATAGCATTATACTATTATTGATAAAATTTTAATATGCTTCTTTAAAACATTAAAATATTGTTTACATTTCATTTAATCACACAAATCATTTAACTAAGAAGCTCAGTTGTGTTATTGATACAGTCAATTTTAATAGATTAAAAGTATATATATTTTGTTTATACAAATTGTCAAAATGTTATAAATTTTAATTATTTAATAAATTAATTTATCTATTAATTTATTTCTAGCATATTATTAATATATATATGACAAATTAACATTTAATTTTGTCTAATTGCTAAAACTAAAATAGAATAAATTATATATATAAAAATGAATAAATTTTTTGTTTTTACAAATTAAAACTATTTATATTTTTTGAAGATTATGGAGGAGGATTCATTACCAAAAATTGTATGCCATGAATGCGTCAAGAAGCTAGAGAATTTCATAGAATTTCGAGAAACTGTTGTCAATGCTGAGGGTATGTTGGAATCTTATTTCACTTCACTTCGTTTTTCCGAAGAATTTCTGAAAGAAGGAAAAGTTTATGTAAAGAATACTGAAAAGGAAAGATCGTCTACACCAGAGGATGAAGTTCTAAAGTCATTGGATAAACCAATATCAGTGGGAGATCAAATAATAAATAATCAACAAACAACAGATCAAATACATCAGCAACCTGTCGTAGTTAGCAATATAAATACTTCTAATATACAAATTATTAGTGGTGTTCAAGCAAGGGTACAACAATACAAATGTGCTATGCAGGTCTGTAATTAATAAGTAAAACTTTATATTAAATATAACAAAGCTTGTTGCTTTATTAAAAATTATTTATTTACATTAGAAGTATTAAAATTTTTTTCTTGGATTTAGATGCAACCAGGTGGTATGGCAGCAGCTGTCGTTGAAGCTACAGCAGAGACTCATTACAGTTACCAACAACAAACTTCTCAAGTATCACAACAATCAAATGAAGCACAAAATCAAATCAGTGATCAACAAAATCAGCCTCCTGTAATTCAAACACAAACTCAAAATCAAGTACAGAATCATAGCCAAATAAATCAGCAAGTACAATCCCAAAGAGCAATGTCTCAACAATTGAATCAGTCGGCACAGTTATCTCAACAGGTTCAACAACAGAGTCAAAGTCAAATCAGTCAACCAGTACAGAATCAATCACAAATATCACAGCAACTTCAACAATTACAGAGACAACAACGTGAATTTGAAAAGCAACATAGACAACTTCAACTTGAAAAACAGCAAGTGCAAATTATAACACAACAAGAGTTTTCAGTGAAACAAGAGACACCAGTTGTACATCAAAATAATAATATAGTTTTCAAAACTGAAACAGATATAGAACCGAATCAACAAATTATACAAAAAATACAATCCGAAACCCAAAAAGACGAATCTCCTAACCCAACTGTACAAACTTATACTACAGTACAAGCAACGCCAGAAGTATTTCTAAATTTAGGTTTCAAAGAGACTCCATTGATGATTCGAGACGACAAAGATTTTAAAGAATTGACAAAAACGTCGTCTGATGATGGAATGTCTCGTAATTCAATTGAACAGATCAGAGAATTTCTAAGGCTTAGATCAGGATCAGAGCCAAATTCTCTAATCACTGTCAATCCTCAAGGACTTTCACAAAATGGAAGAAACGCTATTTGTCGCGATTGTGGTAAAAGCTTTCCTTCATTCAATCAAATGAGCAATCATAATTGTAATGTTGAGACACTTGTAAGCGAACCATCAGATTCCGGAAGTAAGGATGATTCCTTGCAAACTAATGTTAATTCTTTTAATTGTGACATTTGTAGTAAACCATTTAAACGGAAAGAGCATCTTTTCCAACATCGAAAATTACATACTGGTGAGCGACCATATGTGTGCACGACATGTACAAAAGCATTCAGTCGTAAAGAACATTTAGTTAGACATTCGGTTTCTCATACTGGACAGAAAATGCACGAATGTGAAATGTGTGGTAAAAGTTTTTCACGTAAGGATAATCTACATAAACATCGAAAAACGCATGGTGTATCTGGTCCTTACATCTGTGAAACTTGCGGAAAGTCATTTGTTGTAAAACATTATTATGTAATGCATTTAACTACTCATGCGGTAGCTGTCATGGATGGTATAAATTGTCCTGATCCATTTCCATATAAATGCGATATATGTCACAAAGCATTTTCAGTAAAACAATATCTTACTACACATAGACTTAGACATAGATCGAAAAATAATAATTCTGCACAAAATAGTTTAAACGGGCATCAACAACAATCGAATCCTACAAATAATGTGAATGTAGTGACAAATAACGTTAATAATACTGGAAATTTAAATAATAATGGGCAATCTAGCAATGAGTCGACTGTTGAAATGCAAAGCGTTATTGAACGAAACGAACAAGTTAATAATTCATTTGCTAACAGTCAGTATCATACTAATGTGCAAGAGTTTCAATGAGATAAGGGAAAGCGTGTCTATTATGTTCTCTTGCCAAATGGTAATAATCATAAAATCGTGGTTGTATAAGCAAGAGAAACTTTATGACGCGCTAAAATATTTTCTTATGGTTTTGTTCTCTTGAACGAACGTGGTATTTGTACTTTAATACTATAGGAATGAAATCAAAATGATTATTCTAACAAATTAGATATTTTGATGTACATCGGACAGAAAGTAGATCTGTTGAATTCACCGGACATAATGATATATTTTGCCAACAAATTATATAGAATGCATGCTGTAGTTTTTAAATGAGTACGGATCTAATATTTGAAAGATATGTGTTATTATATGTTATTAAGGGGATGCTGGAGTGACGGCCGAACCTGATGTCGATAATACAAATTCTTTTTAGTACTAAATTATAAAAATACCGATAATAGCATCTTTAATTCGTTTCTTACATTATTGTTCTGTTCTCACTCAAATGCATATATCTGTCCTTATCTAACATATTACAGCGCAATCTTTTGCAAGATCCGGCATCTACTGCTAGACATAATTACTGCTGTGTTTACCATTCTGAGTCTTTGTTAAACATACGTGTACACATAATTTGCAGCTGAATATGAAGTCTACAATGTGTTTTTTGCTTCCTGTTTTTTATTTCTTATTTTATGCTTTTTCCTTCTTACAATGTCATTTTATCGATAATCGTGTTTCTTGTCTCTTTCAAAGTTTGTCAACTTTTATCTCCAGCGATAGAAAGTAAAGAAACTGGACAAAAGGCGAGAAATAAAAGTGGCAAAAAGCAAGATGAGGAAATAAAGAGCACATTGTAAATTAGGCTTAAAACTTTCTTTTTAAGCTTTCAATTTTAATTCTATAAACTTTAATATTGTTTGTTCATGTAATCCGATGGGTGGTGCAATGTCACTTTGTCTATACGAGCTATAAAACTTTTATATTAAGGAATCGTCTACATCAGGTGACAGCTTACGAGTTGAAAAATGTAAGTTCTTGATTTTTTTTTATCTTACAATTAGTATAAAGTCCACTACTCTACCTCTTAGTTTTGCGCCTACTTCAATCCTGTAAAAGGAAATTTTTATTTCGTTCAAAAGGCAGTAATGTATCGATAATTCGCGACTCCATCATCCCCTTAATACAATATCCCTATACTTGTATGCAATATTCTGTATATGAGTATATTCATATCTAGATACAGCAAATACAATGATTATAGAAATTCAAGGTCATTCAAGGTTAAAACATAAAAAAAATTGAAAAAAGAAAGTTCATCGTCATCCTCAAATGCGCGCCAACAAACATTAATATATATTCTAATTTATTTTGAAAGAACCAAAATAATGATGAATAATTTTGCAAGATGTAATATGTCCATATTATTAAAATCACAAATCAGTTTGAATTTATGAATCGTGCCAGTACGAAGTAATTGTATTGATCCATTAACCACCACCACCACACACACACACACACACACACACACACACACACACACACACACACACACACACACACACACACACACACACACA